TGCCCTCTCTCTTAATCACGGTTGCTCTCTCATGCTATTTCGTTCGGTATTTCATTTCTCTTTCTCCCAGTTAATTTGTTTAATGTCTTCGTTATATATATATATATATATATATATATATATATATGTACCAAGCTAATTTTATTCGTATCATTCTATCTATCTATCTATCTATCTATCTATCTATCTATCTATCTATCTATCTCGGTCTCATCTATTTCTCTTCCATTTTTTTTAAACAAGTCTCTACTTCTTGTAAAGTTTTAGTGATTTTTTATGATTCATGTATGCTTATATTTTTGAGAATTTGGGAGGGTCTCTCATTATATAACGCAAAAAAGGGACAACAGAAAAGCTGAAATACTGTTTACGTGGACATAGAAAATATAAAGCCGAATTACAGATTCACCATCACTAACCCAGCATCATTGTACAAAAATACCTAAAATTTTGCCGGATTACTGAATGTTACGTTTGAATACACTTAAACAGCTAGACATCCCTCCACAGTTTTAAAATATCCTATAAATCAGTACTTGTTGATTAATAAAAGGAAAAAGCCTTTTTTGACAAGTTCTACCTTATGCGTCAAGGACATAGTTTGGTTTCTACGCTTCGCACAATTGGCTTCGTTGATTTTGTTTAGCGGCATATCAATACATTTATGAGTAATTTAACGCCAAAATTTAAATATTTTGAACACAATTTTATGGCTTCATTTACAGATTGTTATTATATTGATGTAGATTAGATGATGACAATATAAATTTTGATTTAATTTCACTGTATTCCACTAGCTGTCACTTGTAATTCTCCCATCTATCCCTGCTGACACTTTGCATCCCCACTCCTCTCGTCAATAATCTAAATCCCCCAGAAAATTTTTCTAGGTCAAGTCATTTAGACATTTACTGCCTTATCTCTTGTGATTTAATTTTAAAATAATTCTTAATAAATTGTCTGGAAAAATTTAAACCATTTTGCAATTTCGTTCTGATGAGGCAGATATTAAAAATTATATGTCGAAATATACTTATTAACGAATTCTTCGATGATGTGTTGAATTTTCTCCTTCTTGATGGATATCATATTGCTCTGTATATAAATATACTGTGCTTTCTTCATGAATCAATCTTTTTAATATATATATATATATATATATATATATATATATATATATATTTATGTGTGTATGTGTGTGTGTGTGTGTGTATGTTAGACTCTCCAGTCGTATCCTAGGAACCGGCAGCCAGACACGAGTACATATGATTTGATTATAGTGGTGAAGGCTTTGTGCAGAACCAGCCACACATTTTGAAGGACAGAATACAGAGACCTCGTGGCACAGTATATATATATATATATATATATATATATATATATATATATATATAAAGGTTGTATCAAAAATACTTTTAAAAACACAAAACCAGAACAAATGTCCATATAAACATATGTCCACAAATCCTTTGTTTTTGAGTTAAGTTTAAAGCAAGTTTACCTTAGTTGGCGCTGTATTGCCATTTAGATGAGCTTACAGTTGTTGTTCGTGTATATTTTTGGCCAGCCTGATTTCAATGTTTAAAGTGTTTAGTAGTGAGTTTACTGAGAAGTGTTCCGTATAACAATGGCAGGATATTCATAGCATGAGTAGGCAGATATGATTTTTACATATGGCCGCACGAATGGTAATGGATGCGAGGCTACACAGCTGTATCAGATTGCGTTTCCAGACCAAAAGGATGCGAATCATTTGACCTTTGCTGCTATCTATCTATCTATCTCTCTATCTATCTATCTATCTCTCTATAAAAAGAATACCCGCTCGGCCCGGTGGCTAGGATCAAAGTGTAGTATCTGTGCTTTTGTGAGCTGCCGAGCCGGGTGTCTAATCGAACTCTCTGCTTGCAGAGAGGAACTTGACGAAGCTCCGCCGAAGGGTAGGGTTTCGTTCGGGGGAGGTTGACAGGAACTAGCCCGCTTGGACGGGTTTAGATGGGTTTTATTTTTGGCTGGGCCTACGGGCTCCGGACATACCCACATTAAAAAGGCCTTGTGCCACATTCAATTCCTGTGGGTGAATTGATAAATACCATCTATCTATCTATCTATCTATCTATCTATCTATCTATCTATCTATCTATCTGAGTCTGTTGATTTCTTTCTCGATCGGTTCATTATCTATCTATCTATCTATCTATCTATCTATCTATCTATCTATCTATCTGAGTTTGTTGATTTCTTTCTCGATCGGTTCATTATCTATCTATCTATCTATCTATCTATTTATCTATCTATCTATGTGAACATTGATATAGAATATATTGATCTTTCTTCGAATTTTTTTATCTTTATCATCCATTCGTAGTTTTTATCTCTATCATCCATAAAAATGGAGGGGTGCAAAAGTAGGTATACAGTAATAAAAATAAAACGTGCACACAAAGTGTATTAAATGAATCCTAGAGCCACTATTAATACTGATAATTAATCGCTAATACCTCCTTTTGACCCCCATATATATATATATGCGCGGTAATTAGTGCCAGTTTGTCTCATGATCGCAACAGCGTGAAAACTAATATCAATACAACTATATATATATATATATATATATATATATACACAACCATATATCTACGTAATAAATATACCTGTGCATTTTTATCGTTTTCCCTATTACAGAACATTAGCATACACGTGCTTACATACACACATATTCCTATGCTGTCATCAATTTCTTTTACTACAACCTGCCTAGTTTCACTTTCACTTTTACTTTCTATCCCTTTACTGTTACTCTCCCTAAACTATGAACACCTTTCTATCCTTCCCATTCCATACACATCCAACTACCACTAATCCTATTTCAGCTTTACTTCCTCCACCTCTCCAACCCCGACTTTCCATTAAATTACTCTTATCAGAGTTCCCTGCATCTCAACATTGTTTGCATTTCCGCTTTCGCCCAACCCTTCTTTCCCACTGCCACCTTTTTGTACCCAGTTACCCGTATTTTACCCTGCTGTATTCTTTCCACCCGTTATCTCTATTTCGAGATCTTCAACAATTCCTTATATCTATAAATATACACGCATGCATACATATATATGTGTGTGAATGCGTGTATACATACATACATTTTATATATATATATATATATATATATATATATATATATAAACACACATGTGTGTTTTTGTACATATATGCATGTGTGGGGGGTATGGATGTGGTGTTTTCAACTGTCTCTATGTTAGGATATCTACTTCTGTTTATATCTATAAATATATGTCAGTCTGTTCATGTTTATATATCTCCGTCTACTCATATCTGTATGTGTCTCAAACTCTCTCTCTGTGTGTATATATATATATATATATATATATATATATATATATATATATATATATATATATATATATATAAAATATATGTATGTGACTGAATGTGTGTGACTATTTATCAATTTCTTAATTGTATCATTCTAAGGTATATAAAAGTAGAGATATATATCTATGTATCTATATGTGTATGTAGATGTCAATTCACGTTTAATATAATTATGTACGTAATTGAGAACTTATAAGCAGGTCTTTGTCTTCATCTTTGTTTTTTCGTAATCTATTTATATTTCCCAATATATACATATACATACATACATACATACATATATATATATATATATATATATATATATATATATATATATATATATATATATATATATATATCAGTCTTTAATATCTACCTTGATTTGATATCAACCTTTTGTCTCATTTTGTAAATTATTTTTCGTAATCTATCCAGGTTTACTTTTTTATCTATCTATCTATCTATCTATCTATCTATCTATCTATCTATCTATATATATATATATATATATATATATATATATATATATAAATCTCTTTTATATCTAAATCTGTATATATCTGTTTAAATCTCTTTACTTCTTTCTCTCTATTTATCTATTTTCTCTCTATTTATCTATTTTAGTCTCTCTCTCTCTCTCTCTCTATCTATCTACCTGTTTATTTTATTTTCTCTATTTTAGTCTATGTATATATGGACGTATATATATATATATATATATATATATATTAATTTCTCTATCTCTTTTAGCCTGTCTATCTATCTATCTAAATTTCTTTACATATACCTATCTAAATCTCTTTATCTATCTATTAAATTTATCTACTAAAATGTCTCTTAATTTAATCGCATCATACATCTACCCCTCACTTTGTACACTTCTTCCTTTCGTTATTTCTTTTCTTTCTTTTTTTTCTTTATATATATATATATATATATATATATATATATATATATATATATATATATATATATATATATATATATTTTACCTATATGTAAGTGAGCTTCAGGATCTTGGCACATTCTGAGACATGCATATTTAAATTTATACCCAAATAAAATCATAACTACGTGTCTTTGTATTGGAATTACCAATCTATCTATTCAGTTTTCTTCCTGTCTTCTCATCACCCCTTTCTCTTGATGCAACCCTTTTACACTAAATCACCCTTATATCACCCTGCTCCTTGAACCCTCTCACCACGCTCGCACTTTCTTTCCTCCCCCCCCACTCATCTTTACTTTTCTGTTCCTTGCTCTCTGCTTGTCCTTACTCTCCCTTTTCTGCATCTCCTTACTCTTCTTACTTTTCTTCTTTGTATTATCAATACATTTTCGTCTAATTGGTAAATGTACTGGTCTGTGATCATCATGGCAGAGAAAGCGGTTGCACCAAGTGCACTCTCTCCCTCCGTCGCCGCTACCACTTTCTGAGCCATACCTTCATCGTCCCCCCCCACCTCCATTGCTATTGCTGTTACCAGTTTTGCTGCTGCTGCTGTAGTAATGTAGCTCTCGTTGTTGTTACTGGTTTGGTTGTTGTTGGTGCTGTTCTTTTATTACTTGCTGTTGTTGTTGTTGTTGTTGCTTTGTATGCCCCACAGTGTGGAGAACTCGGTCACCTAGGTTCGTTGTAATGCCGCCACCGCCGTCGTTCTCACCTCAGCCACCGTTGCATCCACCGTCGTCGCGTTCGAACTGTGTGCACTGACTGTACTCAAAGAACGAAGACGGGAGGGTGGAAGGGACGGGTTTGGAAGATGCTGCGGTCTAAAGTGATGGCGGTTGTGGTGGCATTGAGAAAGAGAATGAAAGGGAGAGAGAGAGAGAGAGAGCGAATGAGAGAGCGAGTGAGAGAGATAGGAGAAAGATTGTGTGTGAGAGAGAGAGAGAATTAGGAATAATATAAGATGATGATATTGAAGGAATATGAAAGGACATGATAGATTATAAGAATGAAGAAAGAAAACTACAAAGTAGAAAAGGAGCTAGTGAATGAAATGTGTGAAGAAAAATGAAAGAAAAAGTATTAAAAAGAAAGAAAGAAAGAAAGAAAGAAAGAAAAGATAATAATCAAAAAGACATGTAAAGAAAGAAAGGGAAAAGAAAAAGAAAAGTTACTTAAAATGAAAGAAAGTGGTGAAAATGAACAGCGCGAAGAAAAACAGGGAAAAGAGTAAAAAAAGGAAATGAAGAATTAATAGATTCTAAATAAAAAAAAAGGAAAGATAAAAAATTAAAAGTTGAAGAAGGATAAAAAGAAAGGATGTTAGAAAAAAAGATAGCACATTTAAGAAAGAAAGAAAGAAAGAAAGAAAGAAAGAAAAAGAAAGAAAGAAAAAGAAAAATATAAAAAAGAAAGAAAACAGGAGCTAGAAATAAAAAAAAAATAAAAAAAATCAGTAGCTGGAAAGAAGAAAGAAAGTAAGAAAAGATTTAAATAAAGAAGTGAACAGAAACAAGAATTATAAATAAATAAAGAAAGAAAGAAAGAAAGAAAGAAAGAAATAAGCAACAATAGAAAAAGTCTGGAATTTAGGGATTAAAATGAACACTTGTTAAACGCAAGGGAAAAATAAGAAAAAAATAGGTTACGAAAAAATTAAGAGGAATGGAAGGAATAAAAACTTGAAGCCGAAAAGAAGATGAGCTAATTTGGAAAGCAAGCCAAATAATAATAATAATAATAATAATAATAATAATAATAATGAGAAGAAGAAGAAGAAGAAGAAGAAGAAGAAGAAGAAGAAGAAGAAGAAGAAGAAGAAGAAGAAGAAGAAGAAGAAGAAGAAATGAGGTAGGACAAAAAATAGAAAAGAATAATGAACAAGAGCAGAAAATGAAACCGCGACAAATGGCGGAAACAAGGTGTTGAAATGAATAAGATTTCAAAAAAGAAGATAAGAATTTAAATAACGAGATTGGAAAGGAACGGATAGAAAGAATGAAATGGATGCAAGACAATTGAAAAAAGGAAGGAAAAGAAAAAAGTCAAGACAAAAAAGAAAATGTAAAAAGAAATTTAGTTTCATGGGAAAGAAAAATTAAAAAAAGAAGTAAAAAGAGGAAAAAGAATGAAGTTGGAGAAAGAAAGAAAGAAAGAAAAAAGTAAAAAGTCAAATAGAAAGAAGAAAGTAAAGTTCAGGTAAGAAATCTGGAGAAACAAATAAATAAATAAATAAATAAATAAATAAAGAAAGAAAGAACGAAAATGAATGGAAAAAGAAAAAATCCTCAAAATTAAAAAGAACATTAAAAAAAGCGAATGAATAAAGAAAATAAATTTGTCGAAAGAAGAAAGATAAAAGACATCTTAAGATTTCGTGGAGAAGAAAAAAAAGAAAGAATTAGCAAATTCTCTTAAAAGGAATGAAGTTAAATTAAGAGAAAATCGTAAAAAAGAAAAGAGGCAATGAAATGAAATAAATTCTATGAAAAAAGAAAGAAGAGTAAACAGAAAAGCTACAAAGAAAAGAGAGAGTGTAGAAGAAGAAGAAAATAGCATTTGAAGAGAAAGTGAGAAGAAGATGGTAGAAAAAATAATTTATACTGACAAGCAAAACACAAAGAAGGAGAGAGAATAAAAAGTGTAATAATAATAATAATAGGAATAATAATAATAATAATTTGAAGAAGAAGAAGGAGAAAAACAAATATATTGATGAATCAGAAAAGAGAAGCATAAAAGAATAAAGATTTATATTAATTATTAGGAGTTTGAAAATCGACATGAATAACATGCAACATCTATCTATCTATCTATCTATCTATCTATCTATCTATCTATCTATCTATCTATCTAACTATCTATCTATCTATCTATCCATTTCAGCCTATTCATATCTATCTATCTATTGATTGAAATAATATCTATCTATCCATTTCAGCACTCCTCTCTCTCTATTCTCTATCTATCTATCTATTGATTGAGTTTTCATTTTTTTTATGTAGATAACACTTCTTAAAAATAGATACTACATTCTGAGAGAAACTTGGATCATATTTGTAAAAGTATTCCAAAAGAAATACTGAACCAGAGAGTCATTTTTAATAATAATAATAATAATAAAATAATAATTTAAAATGAAAATCAATACAGTATGGTGATTGTCAGAATTATTTTACGCCTTGAACTGGGCATACAAATGGATTCTAAAACAACGCTTTCTATCTCTGGTATTGACATACCCCGTAAAAGAAGGTGGAAGAGGTCTTCTCTCTCTCTACAAGACAACAACTATTCTTACTCTCTGGAAAACAACAAATGACTGAAACAACATGAAAACAGAAAGAAAAATATTCAATATATATATATATAGTAAATATATATATATGAAAAAGAAAAGCCAAGGATATGTGAACAGGGGGGAACGTGCAAATAAACCCAATGTTGTGTGTGTGCATCTGGATTGCGTACATATGAGTTTTCACATTTGCAAATATTTTATAATGCAGATCCAAATGCAGGTTCTGTGACAAAGGGCTAATCTCAGGATACTACATTCTGATCCGAAAAAGAGAACTGGTATGAACATCGGCCAGCGCCGGTTACAGAAATAGAAAGATGTCACCATTCTATGGGATTATACCATCCACACAGACAGAAAAATTGAAGATGTCAAAAACCAGAAAGAAAAAACTTGCCATATTTGTAACGCAACCAAGGAAGAAAAATATCAAAATCTGATCCAAGAATAAACCAGTGGTAAGCACTTGGAAATAAAAATGGAACCATGAAAGCGTCATACAGAAAAGAATCGTGTCATTTTTAATAAGTGTGTCCATAGCAGAAATCGAATAATAATAATAATAATAATAATAATAATAATAATAAATAGAAGAAGAAAAGCTGAAGAGGAAGAAATTAAAAGAAACCAAATATCAACCAGAAATACGAAAAATACAATACAAAAAAGTGCGAGTGAAAATACTACTCCTACTACTACTACTACTACTAATAATAATAATAATGATAATAACGGATGAATGAAAGTGTGAATGAATGAAAAAGTCGTAACAACTGCTATTCATTTTCTCCTCAGTATCACCATTGTCCTTGGCTCTCTATTTTACAAAAGATCGCAAAACACAGTGAGGGCCCCCATATGTGTTTCTGTGTGTGTATGTGAATGCAGGCACGCACGGATACGCACACACACACATATATATGTACTGTTGAAAAGTCGGTATTACTTCTGCAAAACTGCCCAAATTCCTAACCGATAGAATTTGCTGTTGACTTCCCCTCTTGGCCGAGCTGAGACCATTTCAGTACATTTCAGTATATATATATATATATATATATATATATATATATATATATATATATATATATATATATATAATGTTGTATGGACATGAGTTTGTGACCCTAGGTTTAACGCTTTTGCAATCGTCAGACAAACGCAAAAGCGTGGAACCCAGAGTCAAAAACTCATATCCAGACAACTTATTATGTTTCTATCACTGATATTGAGCGCTTTCTACTAAGTAACGCGTATATATAAAATATAATATAATATATATATATATATATATATATATATATATATATATATATATATATATATATATATATATATATGTGTGTGTGTGTGTGTGATCGGATGTTGTTTATGCGCTTCCAGTTTTCATCCGATTTCGATGAAATTTTTTTCTTTGATAGATAATTCTTCAGTGACGGTTTTGAGTCCAAATCGGCTGGAAAAAAAATTTCAACCTTGAAGATGAAAAATCGTAAAAAACTGATTTTTTACACTTTGTGCAAAAAATCATAGGAAAATTTTAATGTCTGTAAAAAATCAGCGTACAATCAATTTAGAGAGTTGAAATCTAACGCAAAAGATTATTAGAATTATAAAAAAAATGTATATTATAAATAAAAATTATCGCATATTATAATTATGACGGTCCATGGAAGAGGTTCCTTCTTTGCAAGACTGAGAACGCAAAAACGGCCATTTTCAGGGCCACCCTCATTCAAATTGTTAACCCCCTATTTGGGGATTTGCCTCAGTTGCACCCAAATGATGTTACAAATATTGATTTTCGGGTGGGCTGACTTAAACTGCTCAAGTTGAACCGCAAAAAAATTCCCTGTAATGAAACACCTGATCGAAGACAGGTTATACTGCTAGTATATATATATATATATATATATATATATATATATATATATATATATATATATATATATATATATGATAAGCAATTTTAATTACAAAAAGACTGCTTGCCATAATTACTCTGGTTAATAGTTTTTTCTTTTTTTACTTTTTCTTTCTTTTTTTGGGGATGGGGTGGGGGTACAATAAGAAAATCTCTCTCTCTTTATATATATATATATATATATAATTTGTGTATTTATGCAGTAATCCTTTCATGCACATTTCATTCAATACGACAGACAAGGGGCTTTGAATTAGTTTTTAGACAATTTCTTATGTGATCTAATAATTTTTTTCTCATGATAAATTATATAAAATCTGTCCAATTGTTCTTTTATCTGAGCGCTTTCGGCTATACATTTGGCCATTTTCAAGGTTGAAATGTAACTGTTAACAAGAAATATTTCGTTGTATGTATGTATTTATATAATGTTTTCATTTTCAAAACACAGTCA